GTTTTATATTTTCAATAGTAAGTAATCTAAAGAATAATGCAATTATTTCACAAAATGACATACAAAATATATGCTATATTATGTTAAATGATATACTTTTATACATCATATCAAAATGATAGCTTGTTACATACTTTATTTTTTGTAAAAGACATGAAAAGAAATTAAAAATTTTATCTATTAAAGGAATTATCGAAATTCACTCATAAAATATAGAAAAATATATCATTGAAGTCCCTATTTCTTCTCGACATCTCAATCCGTTTCCGAGATACGATAATTTCTTTCATTCATAGGAGGAGAATAATTATTTTCGAGGTTAGAGATATTTAAATTTTTCTTAATTTTAATAGGATTTATTCGAGTTTTAAAATAAATTCCATATATAATAATCCTATCAATGATATATTAGAGATCCTAAATCTAAGATTTCAAAAATTTTTTAGAAATAAGATTGATAAATCGTATATAACATTAAAAAATACTTACGCGATATAGATTTACAGAGAATGAGAGTACGCATACAATAATTGCTATCAGATAATGTGTCGCTCCATTATTTATAGCATAATTAATATGCCTTCCAAGTACGACAATAACGGATACATAAAAAATTAATATTATTTAAAAAATGGTTATTATTATTACTTATCATAACATTTTAATTTACCAACTCGATAGCGTCGTTATAAATGTCCACTACTCGATGTATATCTGTATGTTTCAAATCTATATGCTTGTACAGAGTAGGCATACTGAGATTTTCAACGATCTTTCGAATTCGGTAACTAAAAAATATTTGAAATATTCACAGAGATAAAAAATAAATTGCAGAATGCAACATAATGAAATAACTTACCTGGAAATATGAAATTGCCTGGATATATAATAACAAAAAATATTAAGTGAGAACTCTGTACCCATTATACATAGTAATCCGAATGACAGAATTAACATGAAGTTTAAGATGAAAAAGATTTTAATATACGCGCTTTGGTCGCCGAAAAGAAACAGGACATCGAAGTGAGCGCGAGATTCGTTTAAAGGCATTATTATATCCAATGTTATAGGAATCAGTAGAAATATGATGAATGCTGTAACAGCAATAAAACTCACACCTAGAATTTCAAAATATTTTTAAATATTTCAAAATTTTATATAAATAATTCTGCAATTTTTAAAATTATTTTTATTTTGAAAAAAGAATTGTAACTTTTTTTTAAAAAAGTTATAATGAAAAACAAGAAAATAATTATAAAAATTAATTAATACATTGAAAATTGTAAAATGTTGTACAATATTTTGAATAAGTTTATATAATATTATTTTTTTATAATAGATATACAATTATTATATTTAAATAATCATGATGACAATGAAAATTATTTATATTTTACGAATTAATGTGCATAAAGTGATTTCTTACAGCAAAAAATATCGATAATATGACTTGAAATATCGAGGTATTTCGTCTGTATTTGTATTTCTATCGAATCTTGTAACTGATGTTGTTCTGCAGATATGTTATCGAACAGAATTTCTGCCTGTACAAAAATAGAAAGTACATATGTATAAATGTTCAGAAATATAAATAATTTTTCACGAATTTCACTTACGTATGAAAAAAGTGTAATAAAATGAAGATATCGTAAAAAAAATAGCAGTACAGGAAAAATCTGAGATAACGTGATAACGCAATTTTGTAATGTAATTTCAGATTTTACGAGCAGAATAATCTGAAAAATTATATTCGTTAAATTACAATTAAATGTTAAACAAGAAAATATTTTCTTAATCATATTAATTGATTATTTAAATAAAATATTTTTTTAAGTATTATGGAAAATAAAATATTTTAAATTTATCTATAACATTCTGAAGTTAATGTATTCAATTTTTGGATTAGAACGTACGAATTATTACTATTGATAAAGAATAATCAAAATAATATATAATCAAAATAAAATTTTATTACCTGAAATATTATACCAATAAGAAAGTATATTAATAAAGACAATCTCTGAATCCATACGTAGATTGAATTGTCATATGGCCATAGTCCTATAGATTTCAATATAATACGATAAGTACGATACTGATTGTCGAACACGTTCATTGTTCTGGTCAGATATTAACTGTCACGTAAAATTCGAAGAATCATCCGTCTATACCTCGGTTCAATATATTATTCACATTATTATTTCTCTATCTCAAATTCTATAGTGTACTTCTTTTGTACTTATAGATGTTATATGTGAAAATTATAGTAAATTGCATTCGATCGATTTTCTTCGCACTCATTACTAAACGATCGCTATTTCATAACAGATTTTCATTTATATATTTTCTTGACTTTTTTCTATTTTTCGATTTGAAAGAATAGAAGCTTTGTCAGTAATCTTACAATCGTGAGTTACTCACGATACTATTCCTTCTGTAATGTTAAAATATTAAAATGTGAAAAATTATAATAGAAGAAAATAAAAAAAGTGAAATAGTTTCACGTGATACATAAGACAGAACATTATGCCATAAACAGTTTAAACTAATCGTGCTGTAAAAATTTATTTCCATATGTTATTGCAACAATAAATATTTTATTAACTGGAAAATGATTAATAGATTTATGAAATACAACATTATTTTGTTTAAATTTTATTATTCAAATTGTTTGTGCTTATATTTAAAAATATCCATTTATCAAATATCCATTATTCAAATCTACGCGTATAACAATATCATATAATTGCAATACTTATACTGAATTAAAATGCAAGTAATATTCGAGAACATTTATTGAATTGAGTATATAACGGCACAATAGGAGAAGGATGAACTCATCATCTGCAATTTGACAATAGTTAAAAGTGTTGAAATTCAAAATCATGTTATATAACAAAAAAAAAAAAGAGAAATTACCGATGTAAAGCCTGCATAAGACGGAGTGAATAAACCAGAAAGACATAACTCACAATCCATTGAGCTTCTCAATATCATAAACAATAATAGTTTTTGCGCTTTTAAAGGAATGCGGTACCATGTAGAAGCATAACTGGATAATATTTTATCATGTAATAAATTCCATATCGTTATATTTTTAATATAACAAATTGATAACATACGAGTTATCTAAACGATAAAGATATAAATAATAATATAAGAATTATTCGAACTTACAATTCGTTAAATATGCCAAGATTACTGTCAATAATTAATTGTCCATAATGATTATTGTAAAATGCGATCATTAAATGATATATAACTATAAGAGCAGAAATGAAGATATCTTTTCGATTGTCCATAGTTATTATTGCGTTATATAGCTATGAAAATATATTTAGTTTCATATTTTCAATAGTAAGTAATCTAGAGAATATTGCGATTATTTCACAACTGACATACAAAATACATGCTATATTATGCTAAATATGTACTCTTATACTTCATATTAAAATGATAGATTTTTACATATCTTT